TATGCGCTTGATAAAAATCTGGAATGATTGTAATCCCACAGACCTGTAATCCCAGGTCTCAAGAGACAGAGCCAAGGGGATTGCAAATTCAAATCCCTTTGGGCTACAGAATAAGTTCTAGACCGGAGTAGGTAACTTGAGATCATGCCTCCAAGAGTCAAAAAGAGGGTTTGGGGTATGGCTCATTGGTAGAGAATTACCTAGGTTGAATTCCCATTTCTAGAAGGAAAAGAAAATCCATGAAGCGAACACACATTGAGCAAAACCTAGAAGCAGCTCAAACAAGCTCTGTTCCTCTGCAGCTGACCGTGGCCTCTCACCCCCCCCCCAGTGGCCGGTTTCCCTGCCAGACTCACAGATGGACTCTGAGAGGCAGGAGGGCAGCAGGGATCTGCACTGCCAATGCCATTGGTTGGAAGGGAGCGCCTTCCTGACACTTCAGAATCCTGCTGAGGCAGTGGCAGTGAAAGCTCTCACCCATTTTGTCCCAAAGCCTGTCACCCACCACCGCTCCAGGCCTTACCTCCTGGAGGAGGATCTGCTCAGAAAGAAAAGTCAGAGACAATAACCTGTCATTGACAGGCAGTGGCAGCTTGTGACAATTTAGGACCGGGGGAACGGGGAACCTACTTCTCAGTAGCTGCTGACCGCTGTCAGCTGACCCACTCTTTTTTTTGGTTTTTTGAGACAGGGTTTCTCTGTGTAGTTTTGGAGCCTATCCTGGAACTTGCTCTGCAGACCAGGCTGGTCTCGAACTCACAGAGATCCGCCTGTCTCTGCCTCCCGAGTGTTGGGATTAAAGGCGTGCGCCACCAATGCCTGGCTCAGCTGGTCCATTCTTACACGAGCATTTTGATAAAAGTCGATGATGCAGCAAGTGTCCATGCACTCAGAGGACACACACTGCAGGAATGGGTGCTTCCTGTGTGTGGATAGCCACGTACTGAGTTTCAATTATAGTGACAATTTTCACGACGATTACATGGGGCGTTGGGAGTTTTTGAGGTGGTATGTATTCATCTCTCTGTATCTCTTCATAACCATTGAGATGTGTGTGTGTGTTTGTGTGTGTGTGTGTCTGTGTGTGTGTGTGCTTGTGTGTGTGTGTGTTTGTGTGTGTGTGT